GTATTGATGGAGTGACCAGTTGTGTAGCCTGCCATGCCTTCTGCCTGCCTCCCATTGGTCATTGTCAGTGTGCAAGTGACCAATAGGAAACTGTGCCTCCTGCCTGTGTTCCCCCCCATTGGTCAGTAACTGTACAAGTGACCAATAGGAAAACGTGTCACTTGCCTGAATACTCCCGCCCACCTTGCCCTCCCCCCTGCCCTTACCCCTCCCCTCTTGCCCCTCATTGGTCAGTGTCAATGTACAAATGACCAATAGGAACTTGCATCTTTTGCCTGTGCATCCCTATTGGTTCTTCAGTTTGTTCCTTCCTAAGCCAGGAGGAACAGCTTCCAACTTACCTTCCTGTTGGCTGTTGCTGATTTATTGGAACGATTTACTCTGTGGTGCGCCCCCCACCCCTCTTCCCCTCCCTCTCCCCCTTTCCCTAGATCCCTTACACTGTCCCTTGCTGCTTTTCCTGTTGGTTGTTAATGCTGACCAAGGGAACCCGACTGCCAAAGGCTCAGACAAAGCCCGGATCAGCGCCGAAATACACGGCAAAAAAGTGCGGAACGAAGCTCGTTGTGTGTGTAATAGCATGGCATAGCAGTGAATGTTCAGTGTCGACTTATTACTGTTATCATTATGATTATTTTTTATAATCCTTCTGGTTATCATCTCCCACGTCTCCCCCATATTTCCTTTCTCCTCCTCCTTTTTCCCTTTCCCCCATCCCTGATCTCCCATCTCTATCTCTCCCATTCTCCCAACTGAATATGCAAGTCTGACGTACCTTACATCCTGTTCCTCAGTCTTAGTTTTTTAAGTAGACCTTTTTTCTGTTTTGTTTTTGCCAACTAGCAAACAAATGTGACCTTTTTCTCTCTAATATTTTTTTTTGTTTTTGTTTTGTTTTCTGTCCTGGAATGATTGATGTAATATTTTGTTGTAAATAGTAGATTTACTTTGAATAAGATGTTTCAATGAGTAGATGTCATTATCATTATTATTATCTTTTTTCCCTGCTATTGGGGGGAAAAGTTGAGATCGGGTCGGCTATAGACTTGCCATGTCCTGTGTTGTACTGGCTGCAGATATATGAAAATAAAACTGCTGGGAAATGATTCAAGTACTCACTCTAGTGCCCTTAATTTTGCTTGGTTTTGTACATATTTTTTATATTTTTAGTTTATGTCGTCCATATTTTTTTTGAAGGGTTTTATATATGCAACGTCATTGCTGTTATAGGTAGATTTTCCTTTTCCCTTTTCCCCGTTTTTTTTTTTTTTTTTCTGATTCAATTCTTATATATTCTGTTTTGGTTTGAGATTAGTGCAGTAATGCTATGTCAGTGGTGTGGATTGGTCAAGTTGGTTTAACCTCTCTCACAGCCTTACAGTAGGCATGCATATGCGCATTAGGAACAGAATCTTCAGGCTTTTTCCCCCTCTTTTTTTGTGTGTGTGGGAAGTAAGTGCATCATGTATTGTTAACCCCTCTGGATGGTTTGTTAGGTACCACAGGTAGTCATTTTGTTTAGTGTTTTTTTTACAAAACTTAATTCATACATTTGATTTTTTTTTTCTTTGTTCTTTCTTTCATTTTTGTTTTGAGGAACTTGAATTAAGGTCTGCGTGTAGTGTCATAACCAGGTTTCTGCGCTGATGAAGGCTTCGTGACAACTCACTTGTGTGTGCATGTTTCTGCGTATGTGTCTTTCATTAATTTATTGAGTCTTATTTTGAGTGATTTCCTTTAAAGGCAGAATATTGTTTTAGGTTTTGCAGTTCATTCACAATAAATGGTTGAATATGGGGATATGTTTATGTGGGTATGTGTACGTATGTATATGTACACACACACATACTGTCATGCAAACAGATAAATTGTAGACTAGTTGAGTATACTGGGAGAGTTTTCATCTGTCAAGTGTATTGTCAACCAGAAAGTACAGGAGAATCTCACAAGTAAATATATAGTTTGTTTTTTTTTCTTCAAAAACAGTATTTTTTGCTAATGCCAGTGTTGTGAATGTTAGATTGATAAGGGGAATTATAGTACAAGTATTTTTTGTGTTAGGTAGGGAATGAATTATTACTGTGTGCAGGACACACATTTCTATTTTTTATGTAGTCCTGGGGGGGGTGTGCATACTAGCTTTTACGTATACCTTTACATCTACATAAATTTCCACTTCCACTATTCACACACTCACACACTCACTCACTCACACACACACACACACACTCACACACACACACACACACACACACACACACACACACACACACACACACACACACACACACACACACACACACACACACACACACACACACACACACACACTCACACACTCACACACTCACACACACACACACACACACACACACACACACACACACACACACATATAAATACATACACACATATACACACACACATACACACACACATACACACACACATACACACACACACATACACACACACACATACACACACACACATACACACACACACATACACACACACACATACTCACACACACATACACACACACACACATACTCACAAACATACATACACATATACACACACATATACACACACACACATACACACACATACACACACATACACACACGCACACGCACACGCACACACACACGCACATACACATACACACACACATACACACACACATACACACACACATACACACACACATACACATACACACACACATACACACACACATACACACACACATACACACACACATACACACACACATACACACACACATACACACACACATACACACACACATACACACACACATACACACACACATACACACACACACACATACACACACACATACACACATATACACACACATACATGCACACATACACACATATACACACATACACACATATACACACATATACACACATATGCACACATATGCACACATATACACACATATGCACACATATACACACATGCCTTACATATCCACACATGAGTACATGGACACACACATGTACGTACAAATGCACAGGCAAACACACTCGCCCATACCTGTATATGTAAAGGCACATACATCAGGCACACACTAATGAACACACATGCCTGGGTATATATGCAAAGAAAGAATTTCAGTTTTTATTTATTATGTTTTTTTTTCTTGAGAGAATGACAAAAAAGTAAGAAAAGGCTTTGACAGAATGGCTAAACTTCCATAATTTTAATAGTTTTCTTTCTGTCTCATCCCTTTCTTCTTTGGCACAAGAGCTATGCAAGTAAAGTATTTAATTTTTGCCTTTGCTTTTTTATTATTATTTTTATGTATATGTATATACACATACAGTCAGTTTTTCTTCTCAGTGGAATGTCCAATGACTTATCAGCTTTTAAAGCTTGTGAATTCCCTTTTTTTTATCAAATAATATCATAATCATCTTAGTCTTTGTTGTCATTATTATTATTTCTTTTTAATTATCATTGTCTTCAAAAAAAATTGTGTATATATTTGAATAATTTTCTTGGTTTTCCATGTGCTCTCTCTCATTTACTAACGGAAAGCACAAAAAATAGCATTTACTAACCTGGTTGAGACGAGCAGCAGAGTCCAGTGTGTGCTTCAGTGTCAAAAAACTTTGCATGAGCAAGCAGCTGTGTCACACATCTTTTGGAAAAAGGAAGAAAAATAGAGAAAAAAGAACAAAAAAAAAAAAAAAAAAAAAAAAAAGAAAAGAAAAGAAAAAGAAAATAAATGTATGTATTTATATATATCAGTTTGTATATATAAATAATACTCCTCATCCGATATGGGTATTGTGTGTTTTATTTTGTGGAGTGACAGTAGAGGCAGAGAAGAAAGAGGGAAGAGAAAGATGCATATTATGAGCTGTTGATGAGATGTTTTCCTCTGGAATGTCTCTTATGAAGGGACTTTGTGTATGTTAACCTGGGCATACTTAAATAATTTTATTCCTCTATGTTCATTTGTAAACTGTTGTGAATATATAGCCATTATATCCTTTGATTTTTTTTTTAGATTTTTTTTAGGTTTAATTTTTTGTGTATCAGAACTTTTTATGAGGCATGGACACTTGACACATACTCTGAGATATAGGACGTTTTTTAAATACAAACTTGTACGAACTTGCCAGTCACTCGTGCACTCATTTCCTCACTCATTCACATACTTATTCATTCATTCACTCACTAACTTATTCATTTATTCACTTTTTATTGGCACATTTCACTCACATTTATATCTTCGGCTTCAGTTTTTCCCATGTTCATGTAAGCATAATCTTTGGAATTTAGTATATATTTGTCTCATTTAACTTTCATGCTCCTTATTATTTTCCTTATTCTCTCCCTTTGATTTTTCCTTTTCTGTTTCTCCTACTGTTCTTCTCATTCTTCCTTTTTTTTCTCTCCTCTCCCTTTCTATCCTCCATCCCTTCCTGTTTCCTTCCCTCTCCCTTCCTTTCCTCCTTTTCTTCCTTTTTCCTTCCCTCTCCCTTCCTTTCCTCCTTTCCTACCTTTTTCCTTCTCCCTTCCCCTTCATTTCTCCCTTTCTCACCTGGCTTACCCCTTGCCCTTGCCCTCTCCTTCCCCTTCTTTATCCCCAATTCCCATTCCCTTTCTTTTTTCCCCCTTTTTCCTTGCCTTTTTTCTCCCCTTTCCTTCCCCCTTCTCCCCTTTCCCTTTTCTCATTTCCCCTTCCCTTCCATCGTTTTCCTTCCCCCAATCCTTTCCTCATACCTGTTAACCTTACCCCTACCCCATACCCCCTTACCCCCTTATCCCTTATCCCTTATCCCTTACCCTTACCCCCTTACCCCTTACCCCCTTACCCCCTTACCCCTTACCCCTTACCCCTTATGCATTCTCACCTCCCCCCTCCCTTTCTCCATCCCATCCTTTCCTTTCCCCAATGCCCCAGTATAGTCCTTCTTTTTATGTCTGTATGATTTATTTATTTTTTTTATTTT